TACAAACGAATGCGGGTTTGAACAATACAATATTCAATCATATACTTCGTAAAATATTAATCGTTTCTTCCATTGTTTTGAAATCGGAAATTCAATACATCACTTTGGAATTTTTAAATCGAATTTTCAAGGACGTTCGGGTGCGGTGTCACAAGTTCACCCCCCCTTAACAGGAATTTCGTCCCCGAAATTCACAGCTCTACTCGAATAAGAAAGCATACTGCTTCCTCATCAAAGCCTCTGTTTCCCATGTCTCTTCCTCGACCCGATCGCTCTTCCACAGGACTTTAACCATTGGGACTTCTTTGCTCCTCAGCTTCTTCACCTTTCTATCGGTGACCTTGATAGGTTGAACAGCGTAGTTCAAATCCTCACGTACCTCTACAGGTGGCTTCTCCAATACGTGAGAGGGATCGTGCACATACTTCTTAAGCATGGATACATGAAACACATTATGTATCTTCTCTAACTCAGGAGTCAACTGTAGACGATATGCAACGGCCCCAATCCTCTCTATAATTCTGAATGGACCTATATATCGTGGGTTAAGTTTTCCTCGGGTTTGGAACCGAATGATCCCTTTCCAAGGAGAAACTTTCAAGAATACCTCGTCATCAACCTTAAACTCTAAGGTTCTTCGACGCTTATCTGCATAACTCTTTTGTCTATCCTGAGCCGCCTTGAGTCTCTCTCGAATCAACTTCACCTTTGATTTGGTGACCTCAACCAACTCAGTACCCTCGAGTTTGGCCATGCCAACCTCGTCCCAGCATAACGGTGTACGACACCTTCTCCCATACAATGCCTCGTATGGAGGCATGCCGATGCTTGCCTGATAACTGTTGTTATAGGCAAACTCCACAAGTGCTAAGTGGTTGTCCCAACTTCCTTGGAACTCCAATGCACAAGCCCTCAACATGTCTTCCAAGATCTGTATGACTCTTTCAGACTGTCCATCCGTCTGTGGGTGGAAAGCAGTACTGAACTTCAACCTCGTTCCCATAGACTCCTGAAATTTCGGCCAAAAACGTGATGTGAATCGTGGGTCTCTATCGGATACAATGGTCACTGGGACCCCATGCAGCCTCACGATCTCATCCGTATACAATTTGGCTAACCTCTCAAGTGGGTAGGTAGTGTTGATAGGCAAGAAGTGTGCACTCTTTGTGAGCCTATCCACAACGACCCAAACTGCATCATAGTTCCTGATTGTCCGTGGTAAACCTACCACGAAATCCATAGTCACGTGTTCCCACTTCCATTCAGGAATGGAAAGTGGCTGCAATAAGCCTGCTGGATGCTGATGTTCCGCCTTAACTTGTTGACAAGTAAGGCATCGACTAATGTATTCGGCTATTTCCCTCTTCATCCCAGACCACCAGTAACTTTCTTTCAAGTCACGGTACATTTTCGTGCCCCCCGGGTGCATGGCATACGCCGATGAATGAGCCTCCTCTAAGATGGACTTTCGGAGCTCCTCATCTGCCGGTACACACACTCGGTCACGAAATAATAAGAGACCGTCATCTCTTTCTCTGAAGTCCTCCACCGGTCCCGCTTGCATGCGTTCCCGGATCTTCATAATTTCTTCGTCGGTTTCCTGACCCTTCTTGATCTCATCAAGTAAAGTAGGTCTCACCTCAAATCGTGCCAATAAGGCACCATCGCTGGATACCTCCAGTTGGGCTCTTAATGCCCTCAAATTAGCTAGCAATGCCCCAGACGAGCTCTTCCGGCTCAAAGCATCTGCCACCACATTTGCCTTGCCTGGGTGGTACTCTATCACTAGATGGTAGTCTTTTATCAGCTCCATCCACCGTCTCTGTCTCATGTTTAGCTCTTTCTGAGTAAACACGTACTTCAAGCTCTTGTGATCAGTGTATATGTGACATGTCTCCCCGTAGAGATAATGTCTCCATATCTTCAGTGCAAACACCACTGCTCCCAGCTCCAGATCATGGGTAGGATAATTTACCTCATGCTTCTTCAACTGTCGTGAAGCATAGGCAATTACCCTCCCTTCCTGCATCAACACACACCCAAACCCTTGGATGCTCGCGTCACTATAGACATCGTACCCCACACCCTGTTTGGGTAATGCAAGTACCGGTGCCTCGGTCAATCTCTTCTTTAGTTCGATGAATCCTTTCTCACATTTGTCATCCCATATAAACTTAGCTCCCTTTCGAGTGAGCTTCGTCAACGGCGACGCCAAAACAGAGAACTTTTCCACGAACTTTCTGTAATAGCCTGCCAATCCAAGGAAACTACGAATCTCCTTGACATTCCTTGGTCTCTCCCATTCGGTAATGGCCTCTATCTTCTTATTATCAACAGCAATTCCCGATCCCGAAACCACATGCCCGAGAAAGCCAATTTCCTTTAGCCAAAATTCACATTTAGAAAATTTGGCATAAAGTTGCTTCTCCCGTAGTGTCTCAAGAACGAGTATCAAGTGCTCTTCATGCTCTTCCTCACTCTTTGAGTAAATCAAAATGTCGTCTATGAACACAATCACGAATCGATCCAAGTATTTATGGAATACTCGGTTCATCAAGTCCATGAATGCCGCTGGGGCGTTTGTCAACCCAAACGACATAACAAGGAACTCAAAATGTCCATACCTTGTGCAGAAAGCACTCTTTGGTATGTCGTCTTCCTTAATCTTCAATTGATGGTAACCCGACCTCAAATCGATCTTTGAAAACACGGTTGCCCCTCGTAGTTGGTCAAACAAGTCATCAATTCTAGGCAAAGGATACCTATTCTTGATTGTGACCTTGTTCAGTTGACGATAGTCAATACACATTCGAAGTGTCCCATCTTTCTTTTTCACAAAAAGAACTGGTGCTCCCCACGGGGAGTGGCTTGGTCTAATGAAACCGTTATCCAAAAGCTCTTGCAATTGGGTTTTCAACTCGTTAAGTTCAGCGGGTGCCATACGGTATGGCGGTATGGAGATTGGTTTGGTGCCGGGCTCGACCTCGATCACGAACTCAATCTCCCTATCGGGTGGAAGTCCCGGTAAGTCTTTAGGAAAGACGTCCCGATACTTGCATACTACCCTAACATCATCAATGCTCGTATCTTCTTTGGTTTTGTCCACCACATACGCTAGATATGCGTGACACCCCTTCCTCATCATATTCTTAGCCCTCACGGCGGATATGATACAACTATTGGATTTTGCCCTATCCCCCTCGAAGCGTAAGGTTACCCCTTCATTGCCTTCGAGTTCAAGTACTTTCGTGTAACAATCGACCCTAGCATGATGCTTCTCAAGCCAATCCATCCCCAGGATTGCATCGAACTCAATCATACTCAGCGGCACGAAATCACACGACAAGTTTTGGCCCTCCACTTCCACCTCACACGATGGATAGTGGCTATCTCTCTCGATGTCTTCCCCTAGGGGTGTGGATACCAATAGGGCTTGAGCCATCGGTACCAGGGGTGCGTTGAATCCCCCGGCGAATGCCTCACTCACAAATGATCGTTGCGCCCCGGTATCGATGAGGATTCTCGCACATCTCCCATTAATCTTTAGTGTTCCTACATTTATAAACCATGTAAGATACCTCTCTAACATACCGACCAATCCTACGAAGAACATAATGCGAAATCATGTCCTTAAAGTGGGCAAAATCCCCCAATTATGGTTGACGTTCGCAGTTGAGATATAGATTGACACTGTCTCACCGTTTTGATCATATCTCTTCACATACTTAACCAAATCGTTCGATTCAAATTCCATCATTTAGACAATGAAAATATCTACAACTTTCATGAAGACAACTTTTTCATTTGACGAACACTTCGAGGTGCACCCGGTCGGGTAACATACTATACCCGATCGGGTATAAGTTCCAGTGGGTTCGGGCAGAATTTTTTTTTTTTTGACAAACCCGGTCGGGTTTACCACCATACCCGGTCGGGTATGTGTTCCAGAAAGTGTCTGGAAGATATTTTTGACAAACCCGGTCGGGTATACCACCATACCCGGTCGGGTATGTGTTCCAGAAGGTGTCGGGCAGAAATTTTTGACAAACCCGGTCGGGTATACCACCATACCCGGTCGGGTATGTGTTCCAGTGGACTTATGAGTGCAAAAACTTGTCCTACCCGGTCGGGTTCATTACCAAACCCGATCGGGTATGCGATCCAGAAGGTTTACGAGGGCAAAAACTCGTCCCACCCGGTAGGGTTTATTGCCCTACCCGATCGGGTAGTAGCATGGTTTTGCTCTCCTTTCCCATTTCAATCTTACGTCTGCTCCCACCTGGATTCTAGGATTTATAACTTCAATTTATGGACTAATTAAGGATAAAACACTAGTATACGAGAGGCAATACCTGCAACGGAATCCGGGTTAGCTTGAGCATCCGCCTCCGTCATCGCGTAGACCCTAGCTTGAGTCCTTCCTTGATTCACGGACGGCGCGTTGCTTGCGCTTGCTCCCCCTTGCCCCCTGGACGCTTGTGAAGTCCCGGCTTGATTCCGTGTCCCGGTATTACCACTACTTGGCCCTGATGCCCTCGTCCCGCCCAGTTGTGGGCAGTTCATCTTCATGTGACCGGTGCTCCCGCATTGGTAGCATCTAGGAGGGTCACGACATTTCCCCGGGTGGTTCCTCTTGCAATTCTTGCAACGAGTCACCCCCGAGGCTTGTGATTGCCCGCCCGGGCCATGACTTCCCCTAGGTGGCAGTGGGGGTGTCCGAAAAGATCCCCCTCCCCCATGGTTCCCCTTTTTGCTAGGACCTTGATGCCCATGGTTCTCCCACTTCCTCTTCTTTGCCTCTTCGGCGTTCTTCAACTTTCTTTCCTCCCATTCTTTCTCTCCTTTTAACCCTTGCTCGACCACTTGGCTAAAAGTCATGTTAGGCAACTGTGTTGCCCTCTCACGCACCTCCAGGTCTAAGGCATCCCAGAAGTGATTTACCATCCGGTTCTCGTCACACACATACTCCGGTATGAACTCCGCGAGCTCCCTGAATTTGTGTTCAAGTTGCCTCACCGTCATTTTGCCCCCTTGGGTCAGGAGGGTATACTCTCTCCTCTTGGCGTTCACCTCAAAATCAGAATAATATTGGGCAAAGAACTCCTGTCGGAAATTCTCCCAAGTCACCGTGTTGCCATACTTTCCCTTGGCTCCGTCCCACCATGTGGATGCCATCCCTTCAAGCAACCTCACCGCCACCCTTAGCTTAAACTCGGGGGTGAGTTGCATATCAAGGGCTGCTTCGTTCAGCCTCTTGATCCATCCCGCGGCAACCGAGATGTCACCTGCTCCGTTGAAGGGTTTGCACCCCAAGTCTCTCGCCTCTTTGAGAAATTTTGAGATCCTTATGATCGGACCTCCATCACCCCGGCCCCCATGTGGTTCAATGTGGGCCCTAGAGTCGCCTTGGCTTCTTCCTCTTGAAGCCCCACCCAAAGTTCGCCCTCCCCGGCGCCTTCGGCGTTCCCTCCTTTCTTCGCGCTCCCGCTGATATTGTTGGAGCAGCGCCTCGATTCTGGCTAGGGAGTCATTCTCCCCTCCTTCATCACTTATATCATCGTCATCCCCTTCGTAAGGGGTCTCAACCGGCTCGGTCTCCGGTTGGTAAGTTGAGTCCTCATAGGACCAGTAGGTTTCACTTTCTGTGTCAACATGACCGTCACTCACGGTCTGTGATCGGCCTCCACGGCCAGCTCCCCTAGACGCCCTAGAGGTCCTTCGACTGCCCTGTCCAGTCTCCACTGGTACACGGCCCGTCGGGTTTCTCCTAGTAATCCTGCCACCACCGTCCATTTCTGAAAGAAATTTGGAAAGAGTCATTAGACTCGTATCAAATGTCAATTGACGGATAGGTACTTAAGACACATTTTGGCTCGAGTCACCGCCATACCAATTGCTAAGGGTACCATCTTAACAATTAGAGACCTTGCAACCCAAGTACCAAAAGCTCTCCAAGTACAAAACTCCTATGCTCATGGTTTTCAAAATCTTTTTCAAAAAGAGAATTTTGAGACTTCATTATGAAGTTTATGGACTAAGGCTCTGATACCAACTTAATTGTCACGCCCCGGACCTCCCCGGACACGCCAACAACCCGCCGTACAATACGAATAGTCAACCGCAGTCCAACACATTCATATTATACAAGGCGTCCCGAATATCATTCACACGTAAGCCATCCATAAACAAACATAATAAGTAATCGAATACATAGCGGAAAACATAGTTTGAAAACAAATGCCACACGTGGCTAACATGAGCACGCAGGCTCTAAAGTAAAAATCCATGAGCATGTTTATTAATGTTTAAAACTGAATGGAGGAAGCACGAACCAAGTCTTCCCTCCTAGATGATCCCTCGAGCAACGAGCACAGGAAGCAAGCTCTAGCCTCAACCTGAAAAATGGTGGTGGGACGCCCCCGAAGGGGGTCAGCACTCTATACGGCTATAAAGTGCTGGTGTGGATGGCATCTAATAGATATACAACAAGTATTTCAAACACAAGACCCTCAAATAGGGTGATAATATAATCTAGGCCGTAACCCCAAGTTACCCCGTTTTAAAATATACTTACTTTATATATAAAGTCAAGTAGTCGGCCCGTAGGCCCAAGGTTTGTTTATCAAACATACCCCAAAATCCCGTGACCCCTAGTCACAACAATACATAGGGTCCAACCCTAACACATATGTTTGCATTCTCGAGTCCAACTCGACTACATCACCATGCACCTTTATTAACATAAGCTAACTACTCCACCGTGCATTCTCGAGTCCAACTCGACTACATCCCCATGCACCTTTATTAACATAAGCTAACTACTCCACCGTGCATTCTCGAGTCCAACTCGACTACATCCCCATGCACACAATCACCTCATCATGTCTACCCAATGCAATTCTATGAGCACGGGCTCAAGTACATCTCCTTACATTGGCATAGACCCCAATTCCTAAGCACTCACTAGGCCTAGAATTGTAATATCAATAATCTATCTTGGGACATCCCTACGGACTGCCCAACCATGGTCTTAGCATCACATTACATCAATTTAGTCACTTGCATCACAATCAAGTTCATCAATTACAATCAAATCCTTAGATTCCATTCTTCAACAATTTCAACAATCATTAACTAGTATTTCAATACTATTAAGATTATTCTTATCAATCATATATTCCATTTGTAAAACCCTACATATTTAGAGATATGTAGCAGCAACTTAATCATTCAATGTAATACATAAATAATCATTTATGTATCTACACAATTCACACATGAGTAAAATGCCTATTTCACACAATAGTTCATTTAACTCCATTTTCATCAATACTTTACCAAATCATTTCTTATTTCATTCTTTGGAAAATAGATCAATATTCCATCAATAGGTTATCATCATAATCCATGGAAAACATTATTTAAGCATTTAGGTAATCTCATGCTTAACCTACAAGTTGTAAGCAACTAGATGTCGATCCTCACCTCAAATGAGCTTTAAAACCTTCCTTCTCGATCCAATGGCTAAAGCCTCGGCCAAGGAAGATTGGGAACTAGTTCCTTGCTTGAAAATGGGTGCTAAATAGCCTCCTCAAGTTGCTATTTCAACCCCGAATCGTTGATACTAAAACAGCCCCTAGAACGGGTGTTTTCCGGCTAACTCGATTCCTAGTTTTCCAATGTTTGCATCTAGGTTAGTATCTAACCTTTACATCAATAAAATAACTTAATAGGGATGTTTTATACACTTGGAGTAGTGTATAATAGTCCCACCAATCGTTCATATCATTTGGAAAATGAATGGAAAGGTTTTGGGATTAACAACTCACTTAGAAGAGTAAATCCGTCCCTGCGAGGTCTCGTTCTGCTCGGACGATTTGGAAGCCTTCCTCTACTCCGATTGATGCAAACCAGACCTTCACGGATTCCTCGTCTTGAGAGCTTTCTTTTGGTATCTCACACGCCTTAATTGGATTGGTAAAACTCGAGATATCGGCCAAACAGTCTCAGCACTCTCACAGCTCGAGTTCACAGACCTCTGCTCGTTCCAGATCGATTTTTGGATGATTGACTTCTCCTCTCGAACTGTGGCCACTCAAATATGAAAATAGACTTCAAAATCTATCCAAAGACACCTTATACACGTTGTTTGGTCGAGTATAACTCCCATAATGAGTGGAGACAAACAGCACACCATTTTGTGCGGAAATTGACAAGGTGGGTCTCAAGGTTGATTCCAATCAAGTCTTGTGCAGCCCTCCTCCAGCTGGTGCGGCCAAGGTAAGTCTCCTCACTTAATTTTCTTGTGTTGTAGGTACTCTAATCATGTGGAGTGGTTCCCCATTTGATCCCAATTAATTTGGGATCCAAATTATCTACCAATACTTCCAAAAATGGGGAAAATGGGTCCTATTGTTTTATCTTTGTCAAAAGATGTCTTTTTGTACTCATCCTAATTTATTTAGAACAAGTCAACTTCCTAAATCACATTATTGATCTCCAATATGTGTAGGCTCATCCCAATAATTTACATTATGAAAATTACAAACGAATGCGGGTTTGAACAATACAATATTCAATCATATACTTCGTAAAATATTAATCGTTTCTTCCATTGTTTTGAAATCGGAAATTCAATACATCACTTTGGAATTTTTAAATCGAATTTTCAAGGACGTTCGGGTGCGGTGTCACATTTCCCACCAGTCGTTCATGATCGCCCCATTGGAACCTTCCGCTATAAAATCTGCCAAGGCCTGACCCTTAATAGTGGGACAAGGCTTGAAATCCACCTCGTACTGCCCGATCAGGAGGGACCATTTGGTGATGTGTCCACTAGCCGTTGGATTCCTCAGGATGGTTGCCAACGGCTGTGTTGTGTAGACGGAAACTGGATGAGCTTGAAAGTATGGTGCCAGTCGTTTGATAGCTGCGATTAAGGCCAGGATGGTTTTCTCCATCAATGTATATCTCGTTTCGGGCCCGTTTAGAGCCTTGCTCACAAAGTAAATCGGACGTTGAACGCACTCTTCTTCCTTCAACAGGACCGAGCTGACTGCCAGGTCAACCACGGCCAGATACATATACAAATGTTCCCCCGGGCTCGGTTTGGTCAAGACCAGGGGGAAGACAGGTAAGCTTTGAACTCCTCAAAAGTTGCCTGACAATCTGCTGTCCACTCAAATGGATTTTCCTTCTTCATGATCTAGAAAAATGGGATTGCCCTGTAAGCCAGTTTGGCCAAGAACCTGCTCAGGGCTGCCAACCTCCCGGTCAGCCTCTGAACCTCTTTCAAGTTCCGTGGCGCTTCCATGTCCATGATTGCTTTCACTTTCTCAGGGTTAGGCTCAATCCCTCGTTCGCTCATCATGTACCCCAAAAATTTGCCCTCCTTGACTGCAAATGCACACTTCTTGGGATTCAACCTCATGTTGGCCTTCTGCATTATCCCGAAGATCTTCTCCATGTCCCGCACGTGATCTTCTTTCTTTCTGCTCTTGATGAGGATGTCATCCACATATGCTTCCATGGTGACTCCCGGGACCTCTTTGAACAGCATCCCAACCATCCTCTAGAATGTGGTCATTGCATTCTTCAACCCGAACGACATGACTATATAGCAGAACACGCCGTCCGAGGTGACGAATGCCGTTTTTTCTGCATCATCCGGGTGCATGAAGACTTGGTGATAACCTCTGAAAGCATCCATGAAACTCAGCAGCTCACATCCAGCGGTTTCATCCACCAGCAGATCAATTCTCGGCACAGGATATGGGTCCATGGGGCAAGCTTTGTTCAGGTCCGTGTAATCCACACACATCCTCCATGTTGATCCCTTCGGAACAATGACTACGTTGGCCAACCATTCAACGTGCATAACTGGCCGAATGTGTCTGATCTTTAGCAAGGTTGCCACCTCCTGCTTCGTGAATTCTCGTCGTTCGGCAGCCTGATACCTTTTCTTCTGCTGTACCAGCTTTGCGTCAGGCCGAACGGCCAATTTGTGGCAAATGAGCTCAAGGTCGATCCCCGGCATGTCCTCGGGCCCCGAGCGAACAAGATCTGAAACTTCTTTAGGGCTGTGATCACTCCTTCCCGAATCTCCTTCTCTAGACCAGCCCCGATCGCAACCTTCCGATCGGGGGGTGAATCAATCTCAATGTACTCCAACATGGTAGTCGGTACAGGACGTGCATCGAACTCTATCCTTCTGGTTTGTACTTCGATAGCGTTTACCCGCATTCCCCGGGTATTCATCTTCTTCACAGCTTCTCGATAACATGTTCGGGTTGTCGCTGGGTCTGTTCGCGCTACTCCTACACCAGTATCAGTAGGGAACTTGATGCAGGAGTGTCGAACAGAAGCTATCGCTTCCAAATCTTCCAGTCCCGGTCGGCCCAATATGGCGTTGTGGGCACAATTAATGTCCACCACCACGAACGTCATACGGACAGCTGCACGGTGTGATTCATCCCTGATCTCAACCAGGAGCTGGATGGTTGATAAGCGTTTTATTAACGTGTTTTATATATTCACCTTAAAACGCTTTCATGTGTAAAAAGAATAAAATCTTCACACATCTGCCTCGTTTTGCTAGAAGTGTTCTAAATCAACGATTGGATCAAATACAAGGATGGTAGAATACACACGAAGAAACCGACGGAAAAAGGTCAACCAAACGCATCCCGAGGAACAAATAAAGACCACAAAAAGGCCCAAGACGGACGAAAGCCGCCCGGTTTATGCCAAAGGCGGCCGGCCTTTGGTCCCCAAGCTCATTTTCGCGTCCAAAACTGGAAAAACTGATCCGGAGCAAGAAAGGACGAAAGCCGCCCGGCTTTCGTAAAACCCGGCCGACTTTTGGTCGCCGAATGAATTGTTCAGAATTAAATTACAAAAGCCGCCCGGCTTTTGTAAACGACGCCCGGTTTTCGGGCCCTGGAGCGAAGGCAGGCTATTTTAAACGCGCAAAAGCCGCCCGGCTTTTGCGAATGTCGCCCGGTTTTCGTCTGGCACTGATTAAAACAGGCAACGGTCATCACAATCATTCGAGAGAAGCTCCAAACCCCATTAAGGAGCTTGCTTCCTTGTCCAAAAATGGCCGTTGAAGACCCAATATTTAAGCATATGGAAGCCCTCTCAAGTGAATATTCCATATTCCATACACTTTACCTCCATTTTAGCACTCCAAGATCAACCCCTTGGTCTTGGGAGAAGTTCTACACTTGGGGATCCCATTATCCACCATAGCTTTGGAGTTGTGGTATTATCTTCTTATGTATTTCATTGTATTTCATCATTTCAATACTTGTAATTTCATTATGAGTTGTTCTAGCTAATTTTCCATAGCCAAGGTTAGGGATGAAAGTTTACGCACTCTAGGTGTTTGATGTATGTTCTCAACCAAATTATTATGATCTTTCCTTTATATTTTAATGTGTATGACTACGGTGTACAACGTATGATTATATCGTTGGGTTTATTTGAGCAATTAACGTTGAGTTATAAACCGTGCACTTAAAGGCTAGACATATTCTAATTGTGGATAGAAATATACCTCAATTGAATATGGTGGTTGTAATAATGTCCTAATCTTCAATGGGGTTAATTTTAGATGAATGTGAACCGTGACGGGATTCACACGTAGAAATAATCACAATCTCGCTGCCGTAACAGGAGTTAGAATACTTTAGCGACATTCCACTCATAAGAATTGGTGAAAGAATATACATTAATCGCTAGGAGTCGTTTAGGAGTAATCCCGAACCCTTGGTTGCTTTTATTATCACTTGAAAAACCAAAAATCTTTACTCTTTTACCAAGTCTTTTACAAATTTTATTCTCAATCTTTGAATCATATAAACAACGTTTCCTTGTGTTCGACTCGGTATTCTTACCGGATTTTATTACTACATCGGCACTTGTACACTTGCAAGTTTAAGCCGACCAAGTTTTTGGCGCCGTTGCCGGGGAAACGGTTTTGTTTTATACGGTTCAACAAAATTCCTGAATTTTCCCTTTACATTTCACTTGGTTTTGTTTTGAATTTTGTTGTGTAGACAAGCTCTTCGTGCATGCTATTGAGAAGTCAAGGCTCTACAAACCTTGAACCCGGAGCCCCCAAATTTGGGCAATCGCAAGAGTCTACTATGGAGGAGATGATGAAGCTTCTCACAAAAAATGTTGCTAGCATCAAAACTCAAAATGAAGAAAATCATAGTAGAATGGAGGCATCCATCGGGAATCTCCACAATCAATTCACTAAACTTGACATGCGTTTTGAAGATCAAAACCGGAAGCTAAATCAACGCATGGACAATATTGAACAATATACCAAGTCCTCTATTCATAACTTGGAGGTTCAAATTGGCCAACTTGCTCAAGAAAGGACAACTAGGGAGCATGGTAGATTTCCTACTACAACGGAAGTCAACCCGAGGGAGAATGTTATGGCTATCACTTTGAGAAGTGGTAAACAAATGGAAGGGCCAACAATTGAAGAAGAGCCCATTGAAAAACAAAGCGAAGAAGAGCATATTTCCCCACCATCCATGACGGCTTATGTTCCACCAATTCCTTACCCACAAAGGATGAAGAAGAAAGATGATGGAAAGCAATACAAAAAGTTCCTAGACATCTTCACCAAATTGAGCATCAACATCCCCTTTGCCGAGGCCATTGCCGAAATCCCTTCTTATGCAAAATTTTTGAAGAATATTCTTAGCAACAAAAAGAAGTTGGCGGATTTTGCTACCGTAGCACTCACGGAGGAATGTAGTGCTATTCTTCAAAACAAATTACCGCAAAAATTGAAGGATCCCGGGAGCTTTACCGTTCCTTGTTCTATTGGAAGCTTAGGGGAGGTAAAATCCCTTTGTGATCTTGGAGCTAGCATCAACCTTATGCCACATTCTCTATTCAAGAAACTTGGTGTGGGGGAACTTCAACCTACAACTATAGCTCTCCAATTGGCGGATAGAACCATCCGTTATCCTATTGGGGTAATGGAAGATGTTCTTGTGAAGGTTGGAAAATTTTATTTTCCGGTGGATTTTCTCATTCTAGAGATGGAGGAAATGGAAATTCCGGTGA